ACTTAGATACATTTTATGTAATGATAATGTTCGTAAATTACGTATACGAGAAAAATAAAATCGAATATAAAAATTATATTATTAATTACATCTTATTACTAGCTGGTATACCTGTTCTTCGCATTGGTAAATTGAAAATTTAAGCAATACAGATTGAAGGATAAAGAAGTTTTGAATAAGTTAAGTTTACGTCAAAAAAACAATATTTGTTAAATTTTAAGTTTGTCGATCTAATAGTTGAAAAAAAGGAGATTTTTTTTCTTTCACCCCCTCTCCAAACTACCACACCACACCAGCGGGAGGACGTTTCAGTTCTCGACATATTTAACGTGCATCGCTGCCCTACACGGCGGGTCTTTAGTGGTACTGGGATCAAGCTCATGATATGCCTGCCAGGATCTGATGCCTTGACCACTGGGCTACCGCAGCCCATGTCGATTTTTGAAAACAAACCTTCCTAAGCTGGCCTCTGTTCAGCAAAAGTAACACATTGTTACACATTTTGTGTAATGAATGCTTAATATAATGTAAATAATTTATATCTGGATGTGTGATACATTACGATAACTTTCTGGTGTATTTAATTTATGCTAAATTTGTAATATTTGCAAATAAAGCCGTTCCTTACATTATAAGGGCGATTCAATAGAAACATAACGAGATGTTAGCGATAGAGCCAAGTTGACACCCTTTTTGGCGACCCTGTTAACAACTTGGCGACTGATTGAACGATGCAGAAGTTGGTATTCTGTAGCGCCCCTAGTGGAGAGCGGCATCAAAGAGTATAGCACAAAAACCTTCTCCACAAAAATATACATATGCAAGCCAATTTTCATAGTCTTCGGTTGAATGGTGTCGGAGTGATGCAATGTCACTTATACGAACATCCATTTTTATTTCGATGGATTATTTGTAAAGTTTTTGTGTGTGTTGAGAAGAATAAGATTATTTGATTCTCTACATTTGGTGAAATGCCAAAATCATTTATAGAAATATTTTAAATATCGAAGGTATTCTTTGGAAAAATTCATTTCAAATCATGTGACATTTCCTACTGCTAGACATACATTTGAATGTTTCTTAGCAAATCTAGTAGGTTGGTTTCACTCACATGATTAAACTATTGGCGCGCGCGATTTTCATCGTTATGTGCCTAAATAAAATGAGTGAATATTAACGTCGCACTATTCAGCGACAAGAGGGCTTTGGACGACGGACTTCGTAATTTTGAACCATGGTCAAATGATTAGGATGACACCTGAGCTGTCACCCTTCCCCCTCTCCTGTTTCAACATTATACCAACGGGTGAACGTTCGAGCCTCGATAGTCTTTAAGTGAAGCGGGTTCCTTTACACGACGGGTCTTCGGTGGCACTAGCTTCGAACTCTTGACACGAACGACCACGAGTCCGTTACCTTGACCACTTGGCAACCCCGGCAATATAAATAGGTTTCTAAGCAATATAAATAACTTGAAAAAACCCACTAGAAAGTGAGAGGTAACGTGGTACTTTTAATATTTTTAAAAAAATTACAAAAGCAGTGAATACTTACAAGTTCAAAAATATTAGTTCAGAATGGTATTTTTTTTCTTGTAGGCTGCAAATCTTAAGTTCATTAAGTAATTCACATACGATTATAGCACCAATTTTTTAAAACCATTTTCTTGCATTTTTCATAGAAATTAAAATAAGATTTTAAACGAAATTTAAAACTCTTCTTTAAAATGTTATTTGGAGTTAAAATAACTCAATAACTAAATCAATCATTCTGTTTCGCTTGAATAAGATCCTATTCTATTTCAATTTATATTTCCACAAACGTCTTTCGAGCGGAATTTTTAACGTGATTATGACATGAGTAAAAATAGAGATTTAAGCAAACACCGCGTTGATTAATTCAAATTCAAATCTGAATTTACAATGAGTTCTCCTTTCAAATGGACCTAGAGAATTCAGATAATGCATCGTAATTAAACATTGGAACGAGATTTAATTGAATATATAGCTTTCATTCGACAATGCTAAATCAAACAGTAATCTGCATTCACGTTGCGCGTTCATTTCTCGTGAAATTGAATACTTAAAATCTAAAATCCTCCCGCCATTTTATAGAAACATTTGTTTACATAACATTGGAAATCCGATTCGTTACTTTTCTCATTATCATATTCTCGACGTAATTTATTTGAAGTTTGTGATTCATTCCATTTGAATCGTTCATTTTTTTCTTCCTAATTACAAATGCAGTAGTTGTTTAGCTAATTTTTTTGGCAAAAATTATTTAGTCTTTACACAACTGGCAATACGAAAATTGAAATTAGCATAAAAGACATTAATGAGAAGTTAATCTATTTTTTTTATTCCATAAGAATCAATCAATAAATATAATAGCTAAGAATATAAAAAAAGAGGCAAGATATATGTGTAAAAAAAAAGATTTTGTGTATCACTGTTGATATGTCTGCTTTTATCAGAAATGAGCTTATTTTTTTAAAGTGTTTTATGCAAAGTTTTGCAAAGAGTAGTTTTAGCCATTAATCGCTGTATTCACCGCTAACTGAACCGGGCTATAAAACTTGGAATTACGAGGGTGAGTTTTCCCTGTCGACTGTGGTCAGAGTTGTTTAGGAAAGTCAAAACATATAATGAGACGTTAAAGATAAAATATAAATTTATTTTTCCACATAAGTACCGAGAACATTAAGACAGCTTTTCTCAAAATGGGGGGCACGGCCCCCTTGGGAGGCGTGATAGCTCTACGAAGGAGGCTCGAGGATATTGAAAATTCGAAGACAAAAAATATATTATTTCATTTATTTAAAAAAGTTATTAAATAAATGAAAGTATACAAACCAACACTTTCTGACATAATAAAAATATAATACACATTTACACTGATGTAATACACTTATAAATGTATCAGTACTACATGATGTATTTTATAATTAATTTACAAAACTAAGTTAAGGACAATTTGAATAATTATCAGTGTCCCCATAGGCTTGTCATGTATAAAATTATACACAAAAATTAAACTCTTTATCTTAATAATTTGTACTGTTTATTATCAATCTTTTAACTGCCGATTAAAAGTTATACAATTCGCTCCCGAATGCTAACGTTTTCCACGTACATATGCGTATGTTATGTATTGGTGGGGAGGGGAAGAAAAGGAATAAATCAGTAATCCCTCTAAAATAAGTAAATCCTTCGCAAACACTGTCAAGGTCCTTTTATTGCATTCCAAAGCCTTCGGGATAATTTTATGAACAGCAGTATAAAGAAAAGATTGTTCTTCGGAAAGACGTATGTATACGTCCAGGACAATTAATGCTTTGGCTGAGTTAGACGTTTATAACGCCAGTGGCACTTAAGAGGTTAAAGCCGTATTGTAGCTTTAGCGTCAAAGTATAGTATTATTGAATTCAACACATTGTTTTTGAATGGGGTGGGGCGCAATGAAAGTTATGATTGAACACTGGGTCGCAAGTATTAAAAGTTTGAGAATCACTGCATTGAGACATTTGCCATACCACTTTATAAGCTTCAAAATACCCTCCAGGAAAAACTCAGGGCTTTTGCATACAGAAGAAAGTGTTTACTTTTGAGTAAACGTTTTGGAGATTGGAACCAGGGTGTCAATTAGCCTATGCGGAATTGTGACATCCTGATCGAAATTGAAAAGATGAGATTCGGAAAAAGGGGCCTGGGTTTCACAGATCTAGTTTTCTGTTGTTGGATGACAATGCGAGACCTCACTCGGCGACGTCAATGCAAAACCATATTGCAACTCTTGGTTGGGAGCGCTTACACCATCCGCCAGTCCTGATCTCGCACCAAGTGACTTTCTCCTGTTTCTGGCTTTGAAGAAGAATCTCGTCTGAAGGCGCTTTGGAAGTAATGTTGAAATCAAACAAGCCATTAAACGTTTCTTCCGTATGCAAAGCCCTGAATTTTTTTCTGGAGGGGTTTTGAAGCTTTTGAAGGTATGACACATGTCTCAATGCATTTGGTAATCATGAGGAAAAATAAAATTGTATATTATCTTTAATATCTCATTCTATCTTTTGACTTCCACACACAACCCTGACCACAATTGAAAGGGAAAACTTACTTTCCAACTCAACCTCGTAAGTAACGAGGTTAAGGGAAAGCAAACTACCGGTTAAAACTTCATTTCACCACAATTTTAACTCCGGTTACTTAAATGCGAGTATGCAACCTCATTGGTCAAAATAGACCCCGTGACTGCGTCCATTGCGCGATTAAATCAAACCCTGCTTAGAACCTAGTCCAAATTTCCTAACCTGAAATAATGTTAGATATTGGACCTGCGACGATGAAATGAACTTTAGGCCGAAACACCGGTTTTCTTTCTTTGAATGCTTGACCAGTTAAAAGATGAATACGGCGGTAAGGTGTTGAGCTATTAAATGTATGTTTGCATACGGTAAAATGAATGAGTGAGTGAATATTAACGTCGCACTGCTCAGCTACACGAGGCTTTTGGCGACGGACCACGTAATTTTGAACCATGTTCAAGTGACGTGGACGACACCTGAGCTGGCTCCCCTTCTCCTAACTATCACACCACACCAACGGGAGGACGTTTCAGCTCTCGACAGATTTAACGTACATTGCTACTCTGCACGATGGGTCTTTAGTGGTACTGGGATCGAACTCATGACATGCCTGCCATGATTCGATACCTTGACCACTGGACAACCGCAGCCCCCTTGCATACGGTAACGAAACTCTAATAAATGATAAAAGTAACAAAATTTTAAAAATGTATGTGTTGTCGTGTATTTTTATCCTGGGGTACATATGAAGTACATGTAAAAAACAGAAGACATACAATACAAACAGAAGAATATACACATGTATTACAGATGATGATCCCAGCGTAAAACAAGAACGGGTGCGCTGCTTTCCTTTTGAGATGGGAATCCATTACAGGTGAAAGTCTGACTTCTTTCCCCGAAGAAAATACAACCATGCCTTACTCGGGTTTCGAACCCGAACCCACTCGGTTAAAAGCCGAGTGTCATATCCAACATACTACCTGGGCGGCAATGTGCGTTTTAGTATGTATAAGTATGCACGGAGTGAGTGTTTATTAACGTCACACTTCAAAACATAACAAGGAATATTGGTGACAAACTTTGTAATTTTTACGCTAAGGTTAAGTGACGAGGACGGCACCTGAGCTAGCAACCCTCTCCGAACTACCACAACCAGTGGCGTATATAGGTATTCGAAGGCCCTGGTGCAAAATCAAGATGAGAGCCCTATCTTTGTTGGGCTTTATGAAGTAAAAAGTTAAAAATAAATGAATGTTTTAGACATACAAAGAGGTACTTTAACGTCAGATTTTTATCGTGCTCTGCAGAATATAGGAGAGCAGAGCTTCATACTACCTACATGAGTTTACTTTATGAGTTTTCTTGAGTGAGTTTTAGTGACTATTCGATTTGACATCCCGACAGACGTCTCCCAGAACAGATGTGGAGAGTTTAGGAGCTACTGGAACCGGAGTGAGTGAGTGAATATTAACGTCGCACTGTTCAGCTACACGAGGGCTTTTGGCGACGGACCACGTAATTTTGAACCATGGTCAAGTGACGTGGACGACACCTGAGCTGGCACCCCCCTCTCCTAACTACCACACCACACCAACGGGAGGACGTTTCAGCTCTCGACAGATTTAACGTGCATCGCTGCCCTACACGGCGGGTCTTTAGTGGTACTGGGATCGAACTCATGACATGCCTGCCATGGTTGGATACCTTAACCACTGGGCTACCGCAGCCCCTGGAACCGGAAGATGAGAAGTAACGTAATAAATAATAAAAAATTAAACAATAACGAACAAGATTACAAATTATAACATACGTATTACGAAATAAAACGATGTAGCTAAAATAAAAGGTTTATTATATAAAGGTCAGACTTGTGCCTACTAACAACGGAAATAATTTTAGGGGAATTCCTTACAAATTCTAAATTATTTTCAACTGAGTTGCCATTATTATAGTTGTGTTGAAACCTTTTATATTTGTAATTTAAATGTGGGGGAAATAATCATTATCGTAGTTTGCCTGATGATCAGAACCCGAGGGTCTCCTGAGATTAAGGGCCCCGGGAACTGCACCGCCTAGCCCAGTGGTACTCAACCTTTTTCTCCGCTGGGCCGCATACATATGTGTTATTTTCCGTGGGCCTCAACATGAGGATAAAGGGGGGAGAGTGGCGGGGGAATGCTTTTAAGATCAAGATAACCTTGAAAAATTTAAATGCGGAAAAAAGATCAAAATATTGTGACTCCTGTTTTGCTTTTTTTGATTATTATTTTTTATATTTGTCATTAACAGTAAATTAGAAGCACATTTAAGAAACACTCCTTCACAAGTTCTGCATCAGTTAATGGTTTCATATGATTACCAAAAATACAACAAACTTCACAGGATATTTTTGTTACCACTGAGACATTACCAATGACACAACACTTTGTTGCTGTTGTAAAGATTATTCAAGAAAGCCTATTTATCACCTCTTGAAAGAGACATTCGAGATACACTATCCTTGAATAAAATTCCTGTTGATTGGTATTGTTTAAATACAGCACTTACGTGACAAATCAAACTATTGCTGATCCATGTTTGTTTTTCAGTACAAAATAGTCAATTTCCCAATTGTCTTGAAACGATACATTTTCTTCAATTTTTTTTTTTTGCTTGCAAGATATAAAAGATAGTTAAAAATTAGTTCCACCCATAAAGTTGTCGATACTCCTCTGTTGTCTGTTATTACTTACCCTAACCGTTACAAATAGAAAAATAATATAAACTCGCATACTTAAGATATCGACAGCAAAAACTAAAATTGATACATTTGATTTCTTGACAAAGAATTTACCACTAAATTTTTAATACGTTGTTTATAAATAAGTGAATTTCTCAGAGAATCGCGGGCCATGACCGCGTCACTTAAAAAGACTAGGTGGGCCACAGATTGAGTATCGGGGGACTTACCAATTGCTAGCTACTCAACTGACCACAGCTTTCCAATGGGAGGATTTGGGGCATCGATAGATTTAACGTGCATCACCCGCTCTATACGGCAGGTCTTCAGGGGCGCTAGGCTCAAACTCATGAAAGGCTGAGGACTGTTTTGCTGTGTTGAATCCAGTTTGAATGGCTTACCAACCTTACTCTATCTGTTCCACGCTTTGGATGATATTCAAAACATTATCAAGGAAATGTTCTCTGGTTTCACTATCTATTGCGCATTGAAAACATATACCTAAATGTTCGAAACAAAAATCAAACAAGTTATTGCGAGCTTCAGTGATTTGCATACAAATTCAGTTAGTAAACAGAAAGGCTTCATTTTCGCAAATTTGTTACTTCTGAAATTATTTTACAGATAATTATATTTTAATATAATTATTTACCACCCGCTTCTCTATGGGTATGTCATATAGTTGTAAGAATATATACCGTTTATAAACCATTGATATCTAAGTCCTAACATTAAGTATTCGATTATACAATGCTGGCCACCGTAAATGCAACACCAAGAAAGACAAGGGATAGCACAATAAAATTTATTTTGTAGATAACATGTTGATAAGGAATCAAACGATTAAATTTATAGACTTCTCTGAAGTGTGGTTCCTGCCAGAATCAGTAGCCAGAGTAGCCGCCATTGTTGAAAATCATCACTGACACACGCTTCGGCATTGATTCAAAGAGACTTTGGATGTGTTCTTGGGGTACAGTAGACCAAGCAGCTTCCACACGTTGCCAAAGTTGATCTGGTGTGGCAGCTGGGGGTGTAATCTGGGTCAAGTGTCGAGCAACCATTAACCACATGTTTTCTATCGGCGAAGGATCCGGAGAGCGAGCCGGCCAGGGAAGCAATTCAATCTGGTGATTGACGAAGAACCCTTGGACAATGCGTGCCACGTGTGGTCGCGCATTATTCTGTTGAAATATGGCTGTGGCCAAGCCCTGAAGGTAAGGAAGGACAACTGGCTCCAACACCTTGGAGATGTAGCGCTGGCTGTTGAAAGTACCGGCAATGCGTACTAGAGGAGTGCGAGAGTGATATCCAATACCGCCCCATGCCATAATACCCGGTGCAGGACCAGTGTGGCGGTGCATAACGCAGCTGTTCAGCATTCTCTCTCCACGGTGTCTCCAGACTCGAATCCAACCATCTTGGTGTTGCAGAAAAATTCGTGACTCGTCAGTAAAGACAAATTCATTCCATTCTGCTGCCCACATCCTTCTTTCATCACAATATTGGTGGCGGAGACATCTGTGGTTCTACGTGGATGTCTTGTGGACAGACCACTCTGCTGTAAACGGCGTCGAATGGCACACGCAGTTTAAATAGCACTTAAATTAGCGTAAAATTAAGTTATCTCAATGAAAGACAGTTTTAAATTCAAACCACAGTTAAAGAATAATTTTTCCATGAGGATTAAAAGAAGGATCCGTATAGAACCCGTCACACCTGTTCTTAACGGATTTCAAATCACACAAAAGAAACATACGTACTGAATTTCATTACTGTAGAACTAGTAGCTCGAAAACGGCATTTTTTAAAATTTGTTCACCATAGTAACTTTCCGCAACTCCTCATCGGAGTTGATTTATGCTAAACTTGTTGCTAACGGATCTCTAGTGAATAAAAGAAACATGCTTATCAAATTTCAATTCCGTTCAGAAACGAGAATAATTACCTATAACGCCTCTTAACCCCTCACAACACCCTTTGGTGTCAATTTTCGCAAAACCCCGTTGTGGTGGATCTCTACTCCATGAAAGGAACATGCCAACCAAATTTTTAGTCTGTAGCTTCAATAGTTCGGGAGGTGTCGTGATGAGGGAATGAATTGTTTTTTCCTTTATATACAGTGATTTATGGTATTAGAGACAATATTATTATACTTTTTCAAATAATAGTAGCCCCTAAAATTTTAATAGTAGCATACAAAAGTAATCAGTGTTCGAGGAAACAATAACGGAGTACAAATGAATTGATGAACATAATTTAAAGATCTGAAGTTTGACTATATGTATATCCAATCTATAACAGTATGTAACTAAAAATAAAAAGAATTTCCACATTTTTACAACTAGGTAATTTTAATGCTTGGAAAAATAGGGATGTTATAATCAAGTGATCAATGGTAGGGAAATAATTACTTTAAGAAATTACGTAGGTGGTTTTAGGGAAAAAATTTATGCCACATAGTTGACAAGTAAAACACGTGTAAGCTATTGCAATATTCTTTTTCTGACAACCGACAATAAATCTTTTCGTGGATAGAAGGTAGTGGGTTCCAGAGGGTTAGAGGATGAAGCAAACATGATCACAAGAACAATTACTTTTTTCCCATGTTAAGAACTTTATGAAGTACGCTTTTATAACTTAACTCAGGGAGCAATGTAAAATCCAAGCCCCTAATCAGATAACTAGGTTACCGAAAGTACTTATCTGGATTGAAGCTCCTTGTCATAATCCTTCTTGAAGCCCATTAGCACGATCAGCTTCAAGATTAGTTACTTATCCACTTTCTGGTGGATTCTCCATCGACTATTAATCTCAAGCTGCACGACCACCAATCGCTGTTTACGTTTACTAGCATGGAGGATGCACGCTTAACGACTAACGCTTTACCACTTTTGGCCACGATAGCCGAGTAGTATAGGTATCGGATCGTGGCTTGCCTTATCACGAGTTTGAGCCCAGTACCACTAAAGACCCACCGTGTAGGGCAGCGATGCACGTCAAATCTGTTGAGAGCTGAAACGTCCTCTCGTTAGTGTGGTGTGGTAGTTGGGAGTGGGGGGGTGCCAGCTCAGGTGTAATCCACGTCACTTGAGACCATGGTTCAAAATGACGTGGTCCGCCGCCAAAAGCCCTCGTGTAGCTGAACAGTGTGACGTTAACATTGAATCAATCAATCAATCTTTACCATTTTTTCGCATACTCAACTGGGGCTGCGGTAGCCCAGTGGTTAAGGTATCCAACCATGGCAGGCATGTCATGAGTTCG